ATGCAAACGGGAGACAAAAGTTGACCCCCCCCCACTCAGATTCGCATTATCAGTGACCTATGTCCCTGCTGTCCCCACCACAGGAAGGGGAGGGGGACACAAGGGGCCAGGTGACCCTTCACAGGCAAGGGGGGAGCCATCCTGCCATCAGCCATCCGACTCACCCGGCTTGCCTGAAACGGGCTNGGGGTCATGACAATAGTGGCCTCCATTCTGCAATTAAAACCCCAAGCTGTCACTCAGCAAGGTGGGGGGGGGGCAGTAAGGTGAGAATCATGGCATGGGGGAGGATACAGCAAATGGATTCTCACAGTAGGAGGCGCCACTGTGCAACGTGCTGTAATCATTCTGCCAGTCGTGTGAAGAACCTGAAGATGAAAGCCAAAGGCTCGAGATGCACACTCCTGGGACGCAACCGGCCGTCAGCTACAGGCAGACCCAAGTGACACCCGAGACCCTTTATTATGGGCCTGTGTTACGGACCAAAAAGCTTAAACCAAGTCCAGAACATCCACTAAGAGGGTGACTCCCTGCTGTCCTGCTTCAGACAGCAGCCAGAGCTGTAGCAGGAGGTGCAAAGCCCTCGGCCACCCAAAATCTCTCTCTCCTTTCAAAGCGTCTCTGGGGGATGATGCTGGTGAAAAACAGCAAAATGTGAAGAATGCACGCTTTTGCCTGCCAGACCCTCACTCACTGGCTAGGAGAGCTTGTGGGAAGCCACTAGGGTCAGTTTATTACATTGTTTTTGGGATGGAACCTGAAGCTTTTATAATCAACGCAGGGCTGTTTGGGCAAAGTATTGTCCACATACTAAACGTCACACAATCGAACCAGATGCCTTACCCAAAACCGGGACAGAACCGACACCTGGGAGACCGCAGCGTGACTGCTAGCCAGGGAGACCTCACACACAGTCAGCAGGAACATGGGGCGAACCACATGTATGAAAATGATTAAGAGGGAAGAAGCCGTCCTGCAAACTGCACGCTCACGCCTCCCGCGCGCCCGGCTCAAGCCGCGATGCGCACGTTTAATGCGCGGTTAGAGGTTACTCTGTGCCGATTAGCATGGCTTGCATGACAGACCCAAACCACCAGTGTGAGTGAAAGGAACCACCAAAACACCAAACCTTGGTCATACTACTAATGCACATCCCCAACACTGGCGTAATGATCACCCTCTACAGCTTTCATCTCCAATACAACTCGCCATCTAAAGGACACAGAGCAAAGAAAAGTATCTTTCATCCAAGTGTCTACATAACCTGGCCAGTTTAAGGACGGATCTGAAGCGGACCGGACCGGAACGCCAGGATAACATGTCATCAAACACTACAGTGTCAAAGACCGACCCGTCGTATACTTAATGCGGTACCTGACGTACCGGCTGATGTGGGAAACCGAGTTAAACACTTCGATCACACCGGGTTAGTTACTTTTCCAAACTTGAGAAACATACTCAACAGGACGATCATGCGGCGCAAAGCCGCCGCCGCCGACGTGCAACTGCGCAGCGTTTTTGAGAACGAGATGCGTGCTTTAAAGCCGGAGATTCAATCAAACGCCAAAATACATTATATCCTCAGTGAAAGAGTCAAAATTACGACTATCTCCCAGCCACAAACACAGGTTAACCCACAAACCTGGGTGAAACTTAATTGTGCTTGCTCGCAAAGATTTCTGAAAAAAATAACAGACATGCAAGAAAAAGCGACTCCCCATCACTCACCTTCTGCGCAGCCCCCCCAGTGACCAGCAGAAGGTACGCTGTCACTATCACTCGCGCCCGACTTGCCGTGTTTTTGGCCATTTTCTCAGCTTGGCGACGCAGAACAGCGCACAGGACAGAGCAACAGTCCGACAGCCGCACGCTCCCGTTCTCCCCATTCACCTGAAACGCGGCGACGCGCCCTCGTGCATACGCAAGCGTGAGTGGAGCGCGCCTATGGCGCTGTCACAGTCCCCGAGCGTTACTACTTTGTGTTGTAATGTTGAGAAAAACACAACTATTATATGCATTGTCGGGAAACTACAAAATGAATCCTGAACATTTCTTTCCACATGTAATTTCTTTGGATTTGTTAACAGTAATTCTGTTTTGAATTAAGTCATTTTAATTGTAATTTAAACATGTATCGATAATGCGAACTATTAGTTTTTAATTACGTTAAAACGTATATTTGCTACTGTATGTTTTAGTGCTTGTAATATATCCCATTGTTAATGGCTGGACTGTGCATTTTACATTTTCCTAGTACAATCCATTTGTCGAGCTGCGTCTGTTATTCTTTTTCATAAGTAGACTAGCGTAGTCAATTTTCGCTCGCTTTATTCTGGATGCAGTGAAAATCTCCAAGAATAAATGTAATGTGGACCACGTGTGGTTCATGCAATTGGGTCATATTAATTACCTTCGCTAATTTCCGGTGCATGGCGCGACGGAACACCCTTCCATGCCGTTCAACTTATCTTAACAGCTTAATCGCCAAACTCGTAAAAAGCACCCTGAGTGTCGACAAAATGGGTTTTGTACTTATTCATTCGTTTATTATTTACCAAGTCTTGAAATATAATAGCTGGGGTCATTTAGGATAGGAGTAACTCTGGGGGCGGGAAGGTCAGAAGGTGGAGTAATCGTTTCATGTTCAACTATGAGTCGCCTCTTTTACGGCCACTTGAAAATTAAAACGCTGGATGTTAATAAATCACAGCATTACTGCAAATGAGTTGTTTATAGACAAGGTGATCTTTTTTTTCATTTCATTTGTGGAAACTTCATTAACTTGCACTAAGTTGATAATTAATTATGCTCTTTGTTTTTCTCTTGAACGAGAATAAACGTCTACAACAGAGAAACTGGTCAATCTAAACACTGGGAACTCTACTCCTATTCCAGGTGATGGAACAATGAAGCAATTGATTCAGGAACCAATGTTGTTATTATTCCATCCATCCATCCATCCGTCTTTCAACCACTTAGGGTCACACTACTACTATACAGCTATTAACTATTGTTATTAAAAATAAAGCGTTGTATAGTAGTAACGGGAGTACTCAAAGAAAACCCCACGATGACATGGTGAGAATATGCAAACTCTACACACATGGAACCCTAGCAGAGATTCGAACCAATATCAGAGGTGTGAGGCAACAGTGCCAACCACTGCCCCACCATGCCACCCTATCATCATCATCATCATCATCATCATTATTATTATTATATTATTATTATTATTATTGTTGTTGTTGTTATTATTAACAACACACCTCTGAAATATGGGTTCGAATCTCTGCCAGGGTTCCATGGGTGTGGAGTTTGCATGTTCTCCTCATGTCATCGTGGGGTTTCCTCTGGGTACTCCCTCCCCCAGTCCAAAAACATTCTGAGGTTAATTGGAGTTAGCAGATTACCCATAGGTGTGAATGGTGTGCGAGGCACACAACAACGTGCTCTTCGAGAGTCCTTCTTACAGGGCTAGAGATAACGGGATGTACCAGTAGGGGGAGACAGAGTCCATCGCACTAAGTCCATGTACCTACTCAGGGGGAGATACTGTACCAAGACGTGCTCAGTGTTTGGAGAAGTCAAACGAAAGAAACAAACCAGATGTGTTGAGACGATCCTTGGAACAGAAAATAAAAAATCCAACTTTATAAAACATTATATAAATAGAAGGAATATGGTTTTATATATAAAATAAGCATTAGCTCAGGCAGACAGCCTGACACTGAGAACACAATGTCCCAATATGTCGGTGTTTGCAGTTTTCTAAGATGGCAAATCGGTAGGGTAGGTTTATTCTTGATGTGACCGAAAAACAAACGTCAAAGTGATCACAGATGCGCGCGTTCTCATTGGAAACAGCAGCACATGCTAGCCAGCAAGGTTTGCACCAATGGTCCTGGCTTCAGGATGACAACTCAGGGCAAGATCCAGGCAATGCCACTCTCTCACAAGTCACTGTTTTTCATTTACAAAATATCGTCACAAACGCCATTCTACCTGAAGTCCAAAAATTAATAACGTGATTAAACAATTAGAAACAGCTCTCAGGCCAAAACTGAAGATTAAGACTGCTTTTTAATGTAAAAACTGAAACAAGTGTAATGAAATACAGCATGATGGTTAAATAGGAAACAAAACAAAACAAAAGAGGCTGACGTTGGGCAATTCAGAAAAACACAAAGAAACAATTTAATACTAATCTCAGGCTGCAATGCAGTAAACAGCATTCCTTAAATATCCTTCATTTCCTTGTCCATCGTTTTAAAAACAATCCATCTTCCACAACCCCGTATCCAATGCAGAGCTACAGTACAAGTACAAAATGCGCAAAGCGACTGGATTTTTACTTCATTTAGTACAACTGTATTCCACTAATTATATCAAACATAGACATGGTTCATTTTGATGCGGAATGGTCGCCAAAAGACTGGTTTAAGACATCTAGTGGAAGTGGTAGATGCTTAATCCATTTAGTCCCGTCACAAACCATCTGGATAGAAAATTATGTGGTTAACCGGAAACAGCATAATTTAATTTGTGGTTTCTCGAAGGGTTAAGGGCAGGTCTTGGTGTCCCTATAAGGGACAGACTAATTTAAAACCACAGAGAGTAACATATCAGACCTCTAACAGCAAAACAGACAGCACACCCCTCAGGGACCGGAAACTGAGGATGTCCGTCCGGTATTACTGCTCGAGTCGGTGTGTCCTCCTTGTAACATATAATTTAAAAAATATACACCGGAGACAGCGTGTATGTAAATTAGCCATATTAAACGTGTTTGCTTATCACACCTTATCATGAGCATATTTTTTCTGTAGTGTATGTCGAGATAGGTAGGTGCAGTTTTATTGCATTTTATTTTTTGTTCTGTAGCCGCTTGTTGCAGACCGGAAGTATTAAAGGGGCGGAACTCAAGCAGCCACGTATAGGGAAAAGGGAGAAACACGTCTAAAAAAAGGAGGTGTGTGTATTACTATTAATATTTCTGCTTGCCTATTTGTGTCTGAATAACACTTATTTTTCTCTGGCTTCCAAACGCCGTGATGAAACGCGCTAAATTCTGGTCGAACCGGGCTGATTAGTAATCCAAATTTGCGTCTGTGTCTTAAACTGCCGCAGTGAAACAGGCTAGCAGATTAGCCAGCTAGTTTAGGTTAGTTTATTAAAAATGGTATGTAATCCTACAGTATAGGCACCTACCGTTAGCCACATTAATTGCCGGATAGGATCTAGCTATGTCGCGTCAACCTAGGAATGATGCCTAGTGCCGAGTTGGTAAGTAAAGATCAGGTTAGCTGATTAGCTATCGTAGCTGTTTCGCGCATGTCTTGTGACGCGTGTCATGTTGTTAATCAGGTTAGGTTTAAGTGGTGTCTGCGTAACCGATCCGGCGTGACCAGTTAGTGTGCGAAGGTGAGTCTTCCGATGGAGATGTCAGGCCGGTAAAGTGAATTGGATCTGCACCGTAAACCGTGTAGCACAGCCCCGCCTGTATCATTTATTTACATGTATCCAGACGGGTTTGATTTAATAACCACGGAGAACGCGTGTTATTCAGGATAAGTGTCTCTTTCGAGGGTACACCAGCGAAGCTTCTTTGTTTTACTGTCATTCGACAAAGGCCGAATTTGCCCCCTGTTCCGCTCGTTTAATATGTTACGCTGTTTTTATTACTGCCTTGGCACAGAAACCGCGTATGAATGTTGTCATTTTCATCAGTAGAGACCTTTAATGGCTTATAAGGTTAAGTATTATAATGAATATTAAATGCTGTGGTTTTAAATTTCCTTTGCATATTTATTTGAACTGTTATCGTTACACGTTTGATCGCCTGCCACCTCTAAGTTTTGCTCACATTGCAGTGTCTTTGTGACTGGTATTTGTTGCTATCTTAGTGACCTAAAGGCGTTTCCTTGCATAACCCACAGCACTGGACTCTCTTCCCTGGAAATCGGCTCATCCCAACACTCCCTTTCAGCAACTGCAACATGAGGATGGTGTAATAACAACCAGCGAGCTCACTTGTGTGGACGGCGTGCAAGAGCACTCCATCCAAGATTGGCCTTTGGTGACAGTTGGTCGCGATGATGGAAGTTGAATCCCCACCAAGGGATTTGGTGCCGCAAACCAAAGAGGGCGATGCGGATCCCGCCACCGGTCACCTGGGAGCCGTGGGAAAGCTGGACACTGCTGGGGACATGGTTAATGGTGAGCACTGTTGTAAACATCCTCCATATGAATTGATATCAATCATTCTTGACAGTTTGAGTGGGCAGGTTGCTTGAGAGTGTCGCTGCACACAGTTGCGTTTTAATTACCTCTGACGCATGCCGCTGAAGCGTGGTTCTCTGTGTGGATGGTGTGGGGCGTTCATCACCCGTCAAGCTCGGCAGAGATGACTGGCGTTGAATTGGCTTTGTACAATGGAGGTGCTGCGCGCGGCGTTTGCCGTTTCAGTCAAGTGTCTTGTGCCAAACAAAGGCCGGACGTTGTGGGGGGAAAAAAAGGAATCGAGTCACACTGAGTGCGGAGTGAGGGGTTTGAACATTTCTGTGTTGGTGTAGTTTGCTCTAGCACAGTAAATGGATAATGAAAGGAAATGAAAATGCCTTTCATTCCTGTTGTATTTCTTGCCTAGAGAGTAGCCATCAGGTTTTAATATGCTCACCATCTAGCCGTGCCTTGTGGGGAAAGTCTGCGAGTGCCGAATGCAGCGGCGTCTAACTGGGTCTGGGGTTGGGGGTTTAGAACACGCTGTGAGCAGCCAGCTGGCAGCTGGACGTGTCGTCAGTGTTAGCAAGCCCAGCTGTGGCAGTTGGCACAGCCATGGGCGTGGTGCCCTCGCTGCAGGCTTAGCAGACTGGTCTCCATCGCTTGCCGCGTCCTGCTGGGTGTTGGCTCTGGTCTCCAGTTACACATCGCTTAACTGGCTGGATGGTGGCCCTTGCTAGGAAAAGCGTGCCGGAGACGTTGGGGGGACAACGGAATATACCACCCCCCCCCACCAAGGAGCTGTATGGCATATGGCGCATGCTGATGACGTCCTGGCATCCTCAGGTTTGAGGAGTGGGGGCAGGCAGCTTAACCCGTTTCTCAGGAGTGTCAAAGTGGCTGACCTTCAAGCACGTACTCTCCATTCTTATCGTTTGACTCCCCCTGAATCCTCAAGCCTCCTGCTGTAAGTAGGAAATCAGCTTCTAAATCGGCTGCTCGATAAGCGACGAGTGTTGTTTTACAGTATGAATCTCTCTGTAATGTTTCTCTGGTTGAGCCTTGGGAATCATCCCGTCACCCGGACCTCGCCCCCTGAGCCGCTGACTTCCTGGTTCTGTCGCTCCCTCCTTCCCAGGTCCCGTCCAACCAGAGGAGGCGCCTAATGGATGCAGAGCGGCCGGAGGGCACGACCCCCCTCCTCCGCAAGGGCCCCCCGACGCAGAGCCGTCTCCAGGTGTGGCCGCTTTCTGTCACAGCCTAGCGAGGGGGCCTGAGGGCGCTAATGGCGAGGGCGCCGTTCACTCGGGCGACTCTCTGCAGTCGCTCAGAATAAGCATACCTATGCAGGAGACTGAATTGTGTAAGCATACGTGCCCCGAGTGCTGCCCGCCCCCCGTCCCCGCAACCCCTTCTTTTTGATTTTTTGGTATGTTCCTCTTAATCCCCCTTGCTTGTGCTGAAGTGGTGCTAACCAGCCTCCCTTCTGCCCCCTCATGTCCTTTTTCGGGTGCTTAAGGGTAGTGGGCTTGTTGTAAAGAGCCTTGGATGGTCCCCCCCCACCACCTCTAAGGGTATGTTGGCTATTGTCCTGTTAAAACGTGCACAGTGACTGTGGCTAAGCTTTTAAAAGCTGCAGTCGGCATCTTTCTGACCCCTTTCCCTGGAACGTGGCCGCGATGAGCTCTGTAACGTCAAATATGACTAGCGAGGTGCCATGCTGATGACTGCAGTGTTCGTCCCTCTAGTCTTTCTTAAGCTGTGGTTTCCAGTTAGCTGTTCTTGTATTTGTTTACCTTGAAGTTTTTGGTAAAAGGGCACTGGATTGAACAAGGGCGGCGGGGGGTGGGGGGGGGGGGGGTGTATTTTGCACTGCCACAGCTTGTTTAAAAGCATAGACCCAGCATCCCAGCCCTGCATGTGCCTCTCACGCTGACCGTGTTAGAGAGCAGAACACAGCATCGTTCGCAGCTGGTCTCTATGGTAGCGGGTTTGTTTGTGTGAAAATGCAGTCTCCTGCTCTCCCTCTGTGCAGTTTCAGAGATGCTTTTGAAGTAATGTTTCCCACTTTGTGTTTTCCTGAAATGCTCTCGTTGTACTTGGTCCTCTCCGTTGATTCAGAGAGTCAGTTTTTCCTGTATATTTCGGCAGTGTTTAGCATTAGTTTCCTATGTGGCGGCGCTTTACTCCCCTGGTTTCTTTGTGCCATTGCATTAGTCTGGCTTTCCTGCCATGCCCCTCCCCCCCCGAGCTGGCCGAGCTCTGTCACTGAGCAGACAGAGGTGAAGGCAACACAGCTGCAGGGTCTCTCCCATTCCTGGGGGGGGTCCCCCCCTTCTCCTGTCTCTTATA